TCGCACTCGAGCCTTTAAAATATTATTACTTCATAATTATAGGCATAAGTAAATTAACTTTCAAGAAGACATATATAACTATTTCAATCTTGAAACAATTCTTCTGCAACAAAAATGCTAGTTAGGATATATGCCATTTTTTTAAAAATGATACAATCACTTTTATATTTTAATAAATTAATTAGGGGAAAGGTGCAGATAACGTATAACCACTTATATTTCAAAGACTATAAGAACTTCACCAAAAAAAATTCAATACGGAGGAATGAGCCTTATGTTGCCAGCAAAAATATTTAAGGCTTATGCATAACTGTGACTATTATAAATTATAACTATAATGAGTTTATATTGATTGTATATTCGAATGCCAAATTTGCAAAGTACTGTAAAATCGCGTACATATTTGATAATTTTGCTTTCAATGAAATACATCATGTGATGATAAAAATATTATTACTAAATTACCTTAATAATTATCTATCATAGCATGTAAAAGGTCAGAACATATATATACGTTGAAATATTATCTTTGTCCTATAAGAGATGTAGCAAATAAAGACATACCTTTCCAGTTCTTTATTTCAGTGGATACAATTGAAAAAAATATTTTAACTAAATACTGCACATAAAGTTAATGCAAAGATATAAAAGTATGAATGAGTTTAGATGGATGTAAAACTTATCTTTGTATTATCATCCAAGACATTTTTCATTGTACTTGATCTCATTGCCTGCTTATAATTTACATAGTCTTGACGTAGAAGATCATGAAATGAGCAATTCGTGCTGATAACGTGTTATAAAATAAAAGCAATTTAGTAAAACATGAACAAGACATGTTATGAAATAAAAGCAATTTAGTAAAACATGAACAAGAAATGGAGATAGAGAGAAGGAAGAGATTTTCTTCTTCAATTGTGTGTATTTTCTTATCTATTACAAGACCTTTATATATGCATGAAAAGTGAAGAAAAATATGTCATTGAATATGTCATTAAGCATAAAAATATGTCATTAAATATGTCATTAAGTATTTGAGAAGATCAGGGAGGAAGAGTAGACATCCACCATAATTTGATTTTTTTTATAACAGATATGTTTAGTAAATGTTTTTAATAACAAAATTACAACCAAATAAGATCAATTTTATTCACACGCGCACATTACTCCAGAACATTGAATGATAAAAGAGACAGAGACCAACTGATATTTTCCTTCAGTTCATTCAGGAAAAAAAATCAATATTTAAACTTCAGCGAGTTATTTGGCTCCGCAGTCTGCTGCCGGGAATTGAAGCAAATATCGAAGTTGTGATGGTGTAAATGCGGTCGCTTCAATCTCCTCCTCCATCTCTTCTTCAACCTCCTCCTCCTTCTTACCTTCCCTTCAACCTTTTGCACCAAACTAGTCCCCTCTTCACTTCTTATTCATATCGTCCAACCTCAATCCACTGTACCACCAGCAATAACACCCACATTGTCAGCAACCCAAAACCCACTACTTCTACTTTTAGCCATAATTACAACGATTCAATTCAATCTCTTTGCAAAAAAGGACATCTGAAAGAAGCCCTTCAGCTCCTCTTTCAGGAGCCCAATCCCACCCAACGTACCTACGAGCTGCTCATCCTTTCCTGCTCCCAAAATCACTCCCTCTCCCACGCTTTAACTGTTCACCGCAAACTCATTGATGATGGGTTCGATCAAGATCCTTTCTTGGCTACCAAACTCATTAATGTGTACTCCCACTTGGGCTGTATCGACCACGTCCGCCAAGTGTTTGATAAAATTTCCAACCGAACCATCTTCGTTTGGAACGCCTTTTTCCGGGCATTGGCTTTAGCTGGCCATGGTGAAGAAGTTTTGGACTTTTACAGACGTATGAATGGCATTGGAATCCCATCAGATAGGTTCACGTATACGTACGTGCTCAAAGCTTGTGTTGCTTCTGAATCGTCATCGCCATCGCTCGAAAAGGGCAAGGAAATTCATGGCCACATGTTGAGACACGGTTATGAGCGTCATCTTCATATTATGACGACCTTAATTGATGTATATGCTAGGTTTGGTCGCGTAGGCGATGCAAGTTGTTTGTTCTATGAGATGCCAGAGAAAAATTTGGTGTCTTGGAGCGCAATGATTGCCTGTTATGCAAAGAACGGGAAACCTCTTGAAGCATTGGAGCTTTTTCGTGAAATGATGAGCTATGATGATATGTTGCCAAATTCAGTGACTATGGTTAGTGTTCTTCAAGCTTGTGCAGCACTGGCTGCACTAGAGCAAGGGAAGCTATTACATGGATATATACTTAGGAAAGGGCTCGACTCTATTTTGCCCGTTCTCAGTGCTCTTGTGACAATGTATTCAAGGTGTGGTGCTCTAGAATTGGGACGAAGAGTGTTTGATCAGATGGGCAAGAGGGATGTTGTTGCATGGAATTCCATGATTTCAAGCTTTGGAATACATGGATTTGGGGCCAAAGCAATTGAAGTTTTTAGAGAAATGATTCGATATGGAGTGTCACCAAGTCCAGTATCATTCGTTAGTGTATTGGGAGCTTGCAGTCATGCAGGGCTTGTGGCGGAGGGGAAACGTTTGTTTGATTCAATGTCGAGAGAACATAATATCTACCCTAGTGTGGAGCACTATGCTTGCATGGTTGATCTTCTTGGAAGAGCCAATCAGTTAGAAGAAGCGGCTATAATCATACAAGATATGCGGATTGAACCAGGACCCAAAGTTTGGGGGTCTCTTCTTGGATCATGTAGGATTCATTGTAATGTTGACCTTGCAGAGAGGGCAAGCAGAAGGTTGTTTGAGCTTGAACCCACAAATGCTGGGAACTATGTACTTTTGACTGACATTTATGCAGAAGCTAGGATGTGGGATGAGGTAAAACGAGTTAGGAAGCTTTTGGAAGCCAAAGGGTTGCGGAAAGTCTCTGGTTGTAGCTGGATTGAAGTAAAGAGGAAAATCTACTGTCTCCAGTCAGTTGACGAAATTAACCCACAAATTGAGCAAATTCATGCATTGTTGCTAAAGCTGTCAATGGAGATGAAGCAGAATGGGTATGTGCCAAATACCAGAATCGTGCTGTATGATCTTGAAGAAGAGGAGAAAGAACGTATTTTGTTGGGTCATAGTGAGAAATTAGCAGTTGCCTTTGGGTTGATTAATAACAGTAAAGGAGAGACTATAAGGATTAGTAAGAACTTGAGATTATGTGAAGACTGTCACTCCTTCACTAAGCTCATTTCAAAATATGCAAACAGAGAAATTCTAGTCAGAGACATCAATCGATTTCACCATTTCAAGGATGGGGTTTGTTCATGTGGGGATTATTGGTAGCGCTGGTCACTTGTGCGTGCTATATTTATTCTTTGGTTTAACTATGGCACCTTCCTTTTGGGGTTCTCGGTGGAGATTAGAAAGTTTTTTCACATGTACAATTTGAACACAACGTTTCCAGCCGTTACATCATATACGTTCCTTGTGATAACTTCATGACATAAAATGGAGTGGGATGATGGAATTGATGCTCACGATGATATGCGAGACTATGAGAAGTTGCTCTTTATCTTATTAATTTTCATAATAACTCTAATTGATATTTACTTCACAGCCGTGGCACAAGAAGAAATTTACTTGCTTAGTTGTAAAAAAAAATCCACATTTAGTTTTGTAAGAGAAGTGTGTCCTGCACTTGGTGTTGACGAATTTTAATAAAGTATTAGGCTGCTCGTTTCATTGCGTTACACTTTTAGGTTGGATGCTGGTATTCTTTCACTAAATGTGGGAAATGTTAACCTTTAATAAGCCTGCTCCTTTCATTTTGATCTTTAATCCATGTTTGAATCCTGGAACTAGATTATACATACTGATCGGTGCATTTGGAGGTTGCATAAGACATGGCCAGACCATTTTTAATGTTACCTCCTCTAGATTTATCCTCTATGTACACTACTTGCACATTCCACATAAATACTAACGTACTTTTTGGTTTGGATAAATCTTAGTTGTCAGCTTCTATCGCTGAATTTACTCTATATGTGACATGTTCATTTTGTAATATCCCTTGTTTTTGCCTCTTTTATGCTGTAGGTGTTGCTAGTGTCAGTACTCTAAACATCTATCTCAGTTTCTGGAGTGGCTTAGGAGTAGTATGTGCCAGTAGATGAATAAAAAGGGGAATTGACAATCTTTCAATGCTAGAAGTTAACTGAGTTTAGCAACAAACAAAAGATACTTCACCTTATCTCATGATTGTGCAATCCAGGAAGGGAATTGTATTCCCGCAACTAGCAATTGCTGGTAGCGTTTTCTGATAGTCCATTAATCAAATTAGAAAAAATTGACAAGGTATGTACTGCTTCATTGAATAGTATTAAAGAATAAATAGATAAAACAAAACAAATCCAGAATAAGACCGAACAATCTGTGAATGCTTAGGGGAAAGTATTATCAAGCATTTGGTTCTTTTCATTTTTTCTTGCCGCTTCTCGAGATATGAAGTGTGTCAGTAATTTGACTGTTTTGTTTCTCTCCCCTTCAGAGATAAAATTTTGCAGTGAAGAATACTCCAACTATAGACTTGGCTGATAGAACTGGTTGTTCTTTGTTATTTATTTTTTATAAAATATCACACTGCTCGAACTTTTTGCATGTTGTACAGATATGAAAGGGCTCACTTGCCAAAGTGATTCTTCTGAATCTATTGTTGGGTTTGGAAGAAGTTTGCAATAAACTTGCATGCTTAACTGATAGAATATAGACTATTTCAATTCCCCTGAAGGAGACTCCGAAGGTCTTCTTTTATGTACTTTTGATATTAAGTAAACTTTGGGGTCTCCTTCACTAGACTGTATAGTATCTTTGACCCATTTGATGTCAGAGTATAGAGAGACAGGAAATCTCATCTTCTTTCTTTAGTTACATCAATAAATGGAATATTTCTTATTGATCATTAATAGACTGAAACATTTTTAGTTACGCCATTAAGTGTAAGCATTTTTCTACTTCAGCAAAGAAAGTAGGCCTTGAGATTAGTTATCTGGCATACAGATGAAAGATAATAGTGGCTAATTCGATGCAACTAAATAACTAATTTACAATGTAATGGCATTTGATTAATTAGCATCTTCCTAAGAATGAATAAACTTGGACTTGCTTTTCTGCCCAGACCTCCAAAATTGTAACCTTTATAAGCCATATTATCTTCAAAATCTGGGACTACATTGCTCAATTCTTACACTTGAAATGGGATTGTAAATGTGGTGACTGCCAAATGGGAGGACATATGTTTATGACTATTCTTTTAACCCAAGTAAGATTGCTAGTTGTGTACTGTTCTCCCATGGTGTTGAATCGACTAGTAAAATCTTAAGCAAGTCTTTCCCAAACTGCCAGAGTAGAATCTGCTTAAATTTTTGTATGTAGTATATGGGTTTTTCATAAGAAATGGGAGTTTTCCAATTTTAGTTGTTAACAAGGTCTATGATGTTGGACTTAGCAACAAACTATGGTAGTGTGGCTTATGGAACGCAGGCTCATTGAAACAAACTGCAATGTTGACAGATATAGCATTGACTCAGTTTCTTTGGTATTATACTACTTGTTTGTTAAACTTCCCATGATAATGGCTTTTTATCCATCTTGACTCATTTAGTGGTGTCCAAGCGCACATCCATTCTTAAATGATTATGAATCCACTTTTCCGTAATTAATACTTCTAACATATTCATTCAAAGGTGTCCAAGCATTCATTTATAATTATTGTGATATGTCTTTTCTTCTGTGCCTTTACAATATTCAAATCTTCCTTTCTTCTATCAGGAACAATTTGCTTACTGCTTATCCGTCTGATGTACAAGGTAATGATTCTAATGCAGAGGTCGTAGTGGCATACTGGAAACTGAGGTGCTTGGTTTTACTCTCAATTTTTTTTTAGCTTAAAGGCTGAATAATTGCTTACATGGCGTTATTTACTGCCCTCTTGCTCAAAGTATTTGACGTTTGTTTCTGTCAATTATTCATGGTTGATCTTTATTAATGATCAAATTTGTTAGATTAGTATCCAAAATACTTAGCTAAGGAGTTCTAGTTGAGTTGATTATTCTCAGTTTGTTTGTTTGCTTAAGTAACTAAACCTGCTTTGGAAAGGCTAGTCTTGAACTGAATTTTGGAAAAACCTTTAAACCTCATTGAATGATTTCACAAAAGCTGCTTGTTACGGTCCCCTGTTATGGATCTAGTTATGGAACGCTGCAAAACCAAATCAGAATTAATTTGGATTAAATTAGGAGTATGTGAAGAGGTTTTCTTTTTGCGACCTATGGTGCTTGTTCGTTAAGAGAGAACCTGCAATCCCTTGAGTTAAAGTACTCAAAGACTAGAATAATTTTCTGCATAACTTTCACTGAGTTCAGACAACTTTAAATACAAATACTGAGGATTAACCACCTACCTAAAAACTAGGAAATAACTTCCTAACACTACTGGAAAGAGAAAGTGGCATACTACTAGTAACTGCTACAGGATATATATGAAATATAACTAACTTACTAACAGATACAGAATCATCTACTTCCTAATCTTTTTAAACTTCCCATGTGCAAACCGCTGGTAGACTACACTGCTGCACTGTCTTCATTTACCAACCAACATCCATTTCTGTAATCTTACAAATTGCATCAGGTATTTTAGTTATAGGGTTGTGCTCTCATACAGTTTTGTTTATGTACGAGAACCATTGAATTGGTTTTCCAGATATGTAGTGGAAGTTCCACAGTTGACTTGACCCGCACAGAGAATTTGGAAACCTGATATTTTCTCTGAATGTGACCAAAAATTCATCCAACTTGGCTAATCTTTAGTTTTCAAGTTTCAATGAGAAAATGAATTATTTCTGGATGTAAAAGAATATCTTCAGAGTTGTCTTAGGATTCTTATGATTGTATACATGCTGATTTTTGGAGGCTTCTCATCTCTGTTGATGGAAATATAGTCTACGATCTACATGAACAACTCAAAGTATGTAGAAAAGAGTTGATCTCTACAATCCAAAAACTAGAGCATCAGCTTATGAATGAGAGACAAGTTAGAAAAGAGCAGGCTGTTGGATAGAGATTGAGCATAAATTGAGTCCATATTTTAGATGCAATATGTTGAATTCTTTAGAGAAAGATACAGACATTATTTTGTAATTGCTAGCTCTGATCAGACACAAGATGATGATATATTACATGATAGTAAAAGGTAAATTTTCTTCCATCTTTTTCCCCTGACACCGAAATGTTTGCAAAATAAATGTGTTTTCTTGATACACGTTATGGTATTTGTAGCACTTGCAAAATTTTATTGAATGTCCTTCTCTCTTTTGAATATATGTTCTTAGATATCACCCCATACTCTGGCGGTTTGGGCCTTTTTAATGAGTTTGGATACAAAGATGCATAAATTGAAAGATAAAATTGAGGTTGGGACCAAGTTTGGCATTTTAGCTGAGAGCATAGAGGAACCAAACCATTATTCCTAAGTTTTGACCTTTGAAGATAAAATAACAGATTTTTCAGTTATAAGGAATAAAAATCATGTTGTGACAACAAATTACTTGGAGAGATTCTAGCCAGCCAGCAGCTCCAAATATGGTGCTCAGACCTCCTCCAGATCTCACTTGTGAGACTACACTGGGTATGCTGTTGTTGTTGGTGCTCAGACCTCATTTTGCAAGTTCCTATGCGTCGTCAAGAACCATATGTGCAGCGGAATAGCTTGAAGTTTCTGCTTTTTTATGTCCTGGACATTATAAGAGGGCAAGCTTCATCGTTCAAGTATGAACTTGGACCTTCCTATCAAAGACCGATCCAAGATTTATGAGTTTCTAGAGCAACTTCAAGTTAATATATAATAACAATTGAATTCACAATCAAATATTTAGTATATATATATATATATATATATATATATATACTATAATTAAAGAAACCGGATTCCCGCAAAGCCATATATTGTACTCTAGCTCCGCCTCTGCTTCCCATACTTTGGCAATTTGCTAAACATCATCTATCTCATTTTGTCTGTAAATCGCTCTATCTTATGTTATCAGATATTAGAAGTCGAGCATTGTCCCTTGAACTATAATATTTATACTATCATGTTAACCATGGACATAAGATCGCATAAAAATCCACTTATTTTCGTTCAACTTGACGAATAATAGTGTTAGTAAGATGAGGCCCTGAAGTATAAAGGTACAATTATATATAGGTAGGAAGAGTTGATTTGACATACAGTGGTTGTTTACATTTGATGTATGTTTCTTCCTATAACAACCATTGATCCTATCCCCCTCCCCCCTAAATGCCACGGTAGGCCATCAATAGTCCGAATCCAAAGTATGGTTCATTTGGACTCAAGAGACACAAATAGGTTAAAAATAACTGGGCACCATTTTATATATAGCGTGGTTATTCACCGCGCTATATTTGAACTTAAAATGGGCGGGAAGTATATCGCGCATATATAAGGCGCTATAGTATAGCACCTTATATATGCGCGCTATACCCATATAAAAAATCGTGCCATCTCCTTCCCTTACCAGACGTGAACCAGCAATCCCCATTTTTAATTCCCAGCCCCCCC